CCCTTTTAGATACCTGAAAACTGCTATCATGTCCCCTCTCAGTCTTCGCTTTTCCAAACTAAACAAACCCAATTCTTTCAGCCTTCCTTCATAGGTCATGTTCTCAAGACCTTTCATCATTCTTGTTGCTCTTCTCTGGACCCTCTCCAATTTCTCCACATCTTTCTTGAAATGCGGTGCCCAGAACTGGACACAATACTCCAGTTGAGGCCTAACCAGCGCAGAGTAGAGTGGAAGAATGACTTCTCATGTCTTGCTCACAACACACCTCTTAATACATCCCAGAATCATGTTTGCTTCATACTGTTGACTCATATTTAGCTTGTGGTCCACTATAACCCCTAGATCCCTTTCTGCCATACTCCTTCCTACACAGTCTCTTCCCATTCTGTATGTGTGAAACTGATTTTTCCTTCCTAAGTGGAGCACTTTGCATTTGTCTTTGTTAAACTTCATCCTGTTTAACTCAGACCATTTCTCCAATTTGTCCAGATCATTTTTAATTATGACCCTGTCCTCCAAAGCAGTTGCAATTCCTCCCAGTTTGGTATCATCCGCAAACTTAATAAGCATACTTTCTATGCCAATATCTAAGTCTTTAATGAAGATATTGAACAGAGCTGGTCCCAAAACAGACCCCTGCGGAACCCCACTCGTTATGCCTTTCCAGCAGGATTGAGAACCATTAATAACAACTCTCTGAGTATGGTTATCCAGCCAGTTATGCACCCACCTTATAGTAGCCCCATCTAAATTTTATTTGCCTAGTTTATCAATAAGAATATCATGCGAGACAATATCAAATGCCTTACTATCTTTTCTTATGGATTTTTATTGCCTTATGGTTTTGATTCTTTGTTTTATTATAATAGGTTTATAGTAAAGTAGTTTGGCTGTAAGGAAAGGGACCTGCAGGCCACATCCTCTATGTTGAGCTAAGGCAAAGTTAGACAGGTGGTGATGAGCTAAAGCAGAAGGTCAACATATGAGGTGTCAAAGCAGGTTGGCATAGGGGCTTTCCTAAGTTCATACCCTTTTAAACGTAACAGGTCCACCACAACGTGGAAAAACCCAAAATAACCGGGTAGGACAGAAATAACATATGCGACAACCACAAAAGGGCCATGATGTATTTGATATATATGATGTATATGATAATAAGTTGAGATAATTGATATACTAACCTATAGGAAAAGACACTCCAACATTGGTAAAGTGAGGAAATACAAATAAGGAAAAGGGGAAAAATCCCCTACTGAACACGCATCGCACATCATGGTGTCAGCGTAACATATTATAAAAAGTGGCATCCCAGCCTCAGGGCAGTATGAGAAGGAGATGTAGTCCTTGGGAGGTGCAGGAATGATGGCCACCGGTGATGATGGGGAAGGTGATGGTGATGAGGAAGATGATGGCTAACACTTCAGGTGGTTCTACAAGGGATTTTGTGAGTCTATGGAAGTGCAGATGTACATTCTTTATCCATCTTGTTAAGTTGGTAACTGTGAAAAGGTATTAATAAATTATATTAAATATAAAAAGGTCCTATAGTTTGAGTGTTGTAACTGTGCACATCAGGGTTCCCGACTATATAATAATTTAAATAATATTGGGCCTGATTTTGGGACAAGAATCTATCAATCCTTAAAGTGATAACTGGGGATTCTTAAGTAATCAATATAATTAATACACAATCTAAAGATTGGGCAACACAGGGAATCCTGCACCCAGGGCCGGCTCTGGCTTTTTTGACGCCCCAGGCAAAAAAGCCTCCCACTGCGCCCCCCCCGGGGGAGGGCGGCGAGCCCCGCCGGGGACAGCGGAGCCTTGGCGGCCAGAGCGCCGGGGCTCCGCTCTCCGCGGCGGCCAGAGGCTGCGCCGGGGGGAGGGCGGAGAGCCCCACCGGGGCTCCGCTCTCCGTGGCGGCCAGAGGCTGTGCTGGGGGGAGGGCGGCGAGCCCGGTCGCGGCCCCGCTCTCGGGCCGGAGCGCCGCGCCGCCCCCCTCCAGGTGCTGCCCCAAGCACCAGCTTGGTGGGCTGGTGCCTGGAGCCAGCCCTGCCTGCACCCTAAGCCTATCAACCCCGGCCCTATTCCAGAGCCTGCATCCCCCTGCACGCTAATCCTTTGCCCCATCCCTGAGCCCCTTTCTGCTCCCTGAACCCCTCATCCCTGGTCCCACCCCAGAGCCAGCACCCCCAGCGAAAGTCCTTGTACCCCCACACCCCAACCCTCTGCCCCAGCCCTGAGCCCCCTCCCACACTCCAAACCACTAGGCCCCACCACTGCCACACATCACTTCCATATTGGTCCACATACCAAAATTAATTCCACACACGGACGTAAACAATTAGAGGAAACACTGGTCACCCAATGAAATTAATAAGCAGCTGATTTAAAACAAACATAAGAAAGTATTTCTTCACACACAAGTTGTGGAACTTTTTGCCAAGGGATGTTGTGAAGGACAAAACTATACCAGGGTATGATAGAGGTCTATAAAATCATAAATGGTGTGGAAAATTGAATAAGAAAATATTATTTACTCATTCACATAACACAAGAACTAGGGGTCACCAAATGAAATAAATAGGCAGCAGGTTTAAAACAAAGAAAAGAAAGTATTACTTCACAGTCAACCTGTGGAACTCTTTGCCAGGGGATGTTGTGAAGGCCAAAGGTAAAACAGGGTTCCAATAAGAACTAGATAAGTTCATGGAGGATAGGTCCATTAATGGCTATTAGCCAGGATGGGCAGGGGTGGTGTCCCTAACCTCTGTTTGCCAGAAGATGGGAATGGGCGACAGGGGATGGATCACTTGATGATTACCTGTCTGTTCATTCCCTCTGGGGCACCTGGCATTGGCCACTGATGAAGACAGGATACTGGGCTAGATGGACCAATGTCCATTCTTAGGTTCTTATGTTTTTATATAGAATCATAGAATCATAGAATATCAGGGTTGGAAGGGACCTCAGGAGGTCATCTAGTCCAACCCCCTGCTCAAAGCAGGACCAATCCCCAACTAAATCATCCCAGCCAGGGTTTTGTCAAGCCGGGCCTTAAAAACCTCCAAGGAAGGAGACTCCACCATCTCCCTAGGTAACCCATTCCAGTGCTTCACCACCCTCCTAGTGAAATAGTGTTTCCTAATATCCAACCTAGACCTCCCCCACAGCAACTTGAGACCATTGCTCCTTGTTCTGTCATCTGCCACCATTGAGAACAGCCGAGCTCCATCCTCTTTGGAACCCCCCTCAGGTAGTTGAAAGCAGCTATCAAATCCCGCCTCACTCTTCTCTTCTGGAGACTAAAGAATCCCAGTTCCCTCAGCCTCTCCTCATAAGTCATGCGCTCCAGACCCCTAATCATTTTTGTTGCCCTCCGCTGGACTCTTTCCAATTTTTCCACATCCTTCTTGTAGTGTGGGGCCCAAAACTGGACACAGTACTCCAGATGAGGCCTCACCAATGTCGAATAAAGGGGAACGATCACGTCCCTCTATCTGCTGGCAATGCCCCTACTTATACAACCCAAAATGCCGTGAGCCTTCTTGGCAACAAGAGCACACTGTTGACTTATATCCAGCTTCTCGTCCACTGTGACCCCTAGGTCCTTTTCTGCAGAACTGCTACCTAGCCATTCGGTCCCTAGTCTGTAGCAGTGCATGGGATTCTTCCGTCCTAAGTGCAGGACTCTGCACTTGTCCTTGTTGAACCTCATCAGATTTCTTTTGGCCCAATCCTCTAATTTGTCTAGGTCCCTCTGTATCTGATCCCTACCCTCTAGTGTATCTACCACGCCTCCTAGTTTAGTGTCATCGGCAAACTTGCTGAGAGTGCAGTCCACACCATCCTCCAGATAGACTGCAGATGTATCTTCCCCCTGCTGTAACCCACTAGACCCCACTCCTCTCCCAGAGCTGAGATGGAACCCAGCACTGGCTCCCTCTCTCTGCAGAGTTAGTAGCAAAGTAAGAATATACACATTTTTTTAAAAATATAAGCCTAACCAGTGTCCCTTAAGTGAATTGCCATAAGATGTAAGAAAATGTTATTACTAGAGCTGAATGTGTCTATTTATTTATTTATTTATTAATTATATTGGGGAATTAGATATAGTTTTCAAATGTCTAAGTAGCCCCTGGAATCACAGTTATCGTTGCCTCCTCCACACCAAAATCTGAAATCCCCTTCAGCTGGGGAGGAAAGACATGGAGATGATCCAGCGAGTGACAGGGAGATGAGAGGAGAGGAGCAAGTGACAGAAGTGGGGCCTTAGGGGTAAGAGGTGGGGTAAGGGATTTGGTCTCGGGGGTCCAGTTACCAGCAATTAGAAAGGTGGCAACCCAGTGAGTAATACATAGACAGATTCCCCACTTTGTCATGCTTTCACAGCACAGATAGGTCAGGAAAGGATTTAGTGTCCTTATATGACCCCTGATTCAGAGAAGAGGGCCCAGCACCTGTCACCAGCCAGCTCTCCAAAGAACTCAATCTGAGAGCCAGAGCACCAGGAGAAAACTTTAGGTCCCTTTATGAGTAAAGAGCCGGAGTAGCCTGTCCCGGATCTGTTTGGTCCTCACTCCATATATGATGGGGTTTAGCATGGGGGGAACCAGGAGGTACACGTTAGCAATGAAAATGTGGAAATGCAGGGGCACACTCTGCCCAAATCGGTATGTGAGAGAGGAGAAGATAGCTGAGATGTAAAAGACTAAGATGGCACAGATGTGGGAGCCACAGGTCCCAAAAGTCTTGAGCCGGGCGTCCTTTGTGGAGAGGCTAAAGATGATCTTGAGGATCTGGATATAGGACACAGTGATAAAAAACACATCCAGACCGAGCACACAAAATGCCACAAAGAGGCCGTAGTAACTGCTCACGCGGATGTCAGCACAGGCCAGCTTCACCACAGCCATGTGCTCACAGTACGAGTGGGGGATGATGTTGGTTCTGCAATATGGCCGCCGCCTCGCCAGGAAGGGATGGGGCATTACGAGCATGCCACTGCGTAGCACCACAGCCAGGCCGATCTTGGCTACCACAGGGTTAGTCAGCATGGCAGAATGTCTCAGGGGATTGCAGATGGCCACGTAACGATCAAAAGCCATGGCCACGAAGATCCCAGACTCCATCACTGAGAAGCAGTGAATGAAGTACAGCTGTGTGAGGCAGGCACTGAAATCGATTTCCCTTGAATTGAACCAGAAGATGCTCAGCGTCTTGGGCACAATGGATGTGGACAGGACCAGGTCGGTGACGGCCAGCATGCAGAGGAAATAGTACATGGGTCCATGGAGGCTTCGCTCCTTCTTCACAATGAACAGGATGGTGAAGTTCCCCAAGATAGCTATTGCGTACATGGTGCAGAAGGGGATGGAGATCCAGACATGGGTTGTCTCCAGGCCAGGAATGCCCAGCAGGATGAAGGTGGAGGGGTTGATGAAGTTAGTGGTGTTGGAATCTGACATGGAGTAGGGGAGAAGATGTCCAACTCTGAGGCAGAACGGTGTCTCCTGCATGTACCGTACTTTCCCCTGATTTCCTGTATGTGCCCAGGGTCTAGGGTGATGGTCACAGTACAAAGGCCTGGATGGAGAGACAATGTTAATATGAGACACTACATACACTACTGGAGGCTGTTCTGATGGGTGAAGCAGGTTGGTTGCTCTAGACACACTGAAAAATGACATTTGAACAACTGACCCTGCTAATGCCAATTCCATATTTCATGGTGATCCCTGTGTCAATAATTCCTACACGATAGGCACCAGGAGGAAACATATGTCTCATTGTTCCTGAGGCCTTGTCTACACTGCAAAATGTTTTTGCCGAAAGGCAGCTTTTGGCAAAGAAACAGTGGAGGTATACATACTAGAAAGCCACTTTTGATGATGGAACTCCTCAGTTCAGTGATGTAATAAAACCACCTTGACGAGAGTTGTAAGGGTTTTTACACAAAAGTTTTGACACCAAAGTGCCTAGATTGACACTTGCACAGTTTAAATTCAGCTGTTGTGCATCCAGATAAATACCTTATGTCCCTGCGCCTGTAATGCCCAGTAATTTTGAAATTCCCCTTCCTGTTTGCTCAGTGTGGGGTGTTCATACCACATCTTCCACATCGTCATGGTGGCTCCACACAGCAAATGCTCTCCCGCTAAGACCACAGCAGAACTGCTGGATATGCTCAGTATATGGGGAGAGGAGGCTATGAAGTCCCAACTGTGCTGGAGCCATAGGAATTTCAATACCAAGGGCGGTTTTCACAGAGCTTGTGGGAGAAGAGCTATGATCGGGACATGCTGCAGTGCAGAGCAAAGGTGAAGGAGACAAGCGCCCCACAACTGCCATTTTTATAAGGAGTTGGACGTTATCTTTGGCAGCAACTCCACATCCATGTCCAAGAGTCCTGTGGGTACTTCAGCTGGGCTGGAGCTGGCGGCGTCTGGACCTAACCCAAAGGAGGAAAAGGTGGAGGCAGAAGAAGATGTGGTTCCCAGGTCAGGGGCACCCAGGAGGTGTCCAGCCAGTCTCGGCAGTCACAATCAGGCGAGTCAGAAACAGGAGAGGGGACCCCTGGTAAGTGGTTTTGCTTTATGAAGTCTGAAGGTTGGTGAGGGGCAGAGAAATGTACACGGCTGGCTGTGTATCTGTGTACTGGGCATTTCCCCTTGCAGCTAGGCAGCACGGTGGAGCAGGTTGTTGATGCACACCGAGATTTCCCAGGATTCCTCCATAGAGATCTTCAGGAAATTTTCCTGCAGGTACTCAGCAATCCTCTGCCAGAGGTTCCTTGGCATAGCTGCTTTGTTCCTTCCCCCACTGAAGGACACTTTTCCATGCCATTCTGTAATTACTTGAGCAAGGACCAAAGCAGCACACAGGCGAGCAGCATAGGGACCTGGGCAGAAGCTACAAGCATGTAGTAGATACACCCTTGCTTCCTTGCTTACCTTCAGAAGTGAGATACCTGCCACAATGACCCCTGCCTGTGGAAAAGGGTGGGAAACTATAGAGAATTGCCCCCTGAGAAATGCCCTGCAACCCCTCTCACATTGCTTTTATCCCAGGCACAATGTCCTCTGTCCCTGGGTACACTCACCATGCTTGTCGTGTTTGCTGGCATGTGTGCTTTTCAAGGGTCAGCAGGAAAATGATGGTGTATTACCAAGGGTGTATTTTAATGTAGCGTTTCAATGCTGTATGTGTACTTAACAATAATGCTTCTGTTTATTGTTACTTGTGCTTCACCAGACAAGTCTTTGAAAGGAGGCACCCCCTCCACTCCAGCCGAGCATCTCCGCTGGATAAGAAAGTGCCCAAGATGGAGCAAGGAAGATATGTTCCGGGAGGTGCTGCAGTACTCTGATGCAGAGAAGATGAACCACAGGTCGTGGAGGGAAAGAGACAAGCAGGAAAGAAGAGAAAATGAGGCATACACTAGGGATGCAACACAGAGACTCATAAAAGTTTTGGAGCAGCAAACCAACATGCGGCAGTCCCTCATAACCCTCCAGACTGAGCAGTAGGTGCTGCAGTATTCTGATACATACAAGACAGAAGGCAGGCAATGGAGGGAAAGTGACAAGCAGGAAAGAAGAAAATGAGGCATACACGCAATGGAGAGGCTCATAAAAGTTTTAGAGTGGCAAACCGTCACGCTGAAGTCCGTCCCGACACTCCAGACTTAGCAGATGCATACCCACCCTCCCATTCGGCACATTCAGAACTCTTTCCCACGATCTCCCAAAATGCCACGCATACATTCCTTTCCAATACCTGGGACTTTGCGTCAGTCCTCCCCTGGTATCACCCCCACCAAGAATGTGCATGTGTCTGTGTGTGTGTGCATGGTGTTGTGGGGTTTTTGGCTATAAAAGCAAAGTTGGAATATCCATGCCATCTATTGCCACTCTGCAGTATGGAAAACCCATTTCTGCAAAGCCATTCACAATTTCACACATTTTGTCAGGAGTCACTGTCTTCCGCAGCAGTATGTGCTTAATGGCTCTGCACACTTGCATTAATACAGCCCCAATGGTTGACTTCCCGAATCCAAACTGGTTTGCGTTCGACTAGTATCTGCCTGGAGTTGTCAGCTTCCACACTGCGATCGCTACGTGCTTCTCCACCAAGAAAGCAGCTCTCATTTGAACGTCCTTGCGCTGCAGGGATGGGGCAAGCTCCAGGAAGGTGGCTTTCCTCATCAGAAAGTTCTACAGCCACTGCTTGTCATCCCAGACACACATAACGATGCGATCCCACCACTCAGTGCTAGTTTCCCTACCCCAAAAGCGACTTTCCACCATATTCAGCTGTTTTGTGACTGCCAAAAGCAATCGAATGCTGCTGCTATCCATGTCGGACAGCCTGTCAGGCAACTGTGACTCCCATTCCCTTCACAACTTCAAGATTGATTCCACTGCCATTAGCGATGTGCTCCTGACAGCTGGCAGAGCAGTGGAAAGCAGTGCAGGCTCCGTGCCTGCAGATAGAGATGGCAGGCTGAGCAGAAAACAGGGGACATTAAGTGCTGCAAACTGGAGATGGAAAAACATGCAGTGGTGGGATGGAAAGCAGTGAATCATGGGAACTTGATCCTGGAGCCATGATGCTCTGCGATCTGCTCCACCTTCCCACAACACCTATCGACATAAGATGGAGAGCTGAATTGTGGGATAGCTACCCACGGTGCATTGCTCTCAATATCACGGCGACCACCGCAGAAGTGGATGCGCTATGCTGAAAGAGAAAGACAATGTGAACTTGCAACAACAATTTTCTTTAAAGGCTTTTCGGTCACCAACCAAACTTTTGGCAAAAAGAATGTATGAATGTAAACATAGCCTTAATGCAATGAAACCAGGCTACAGAGTCCTTGTTGTAGGGAGGTCTGCATTCACATGGTTGCTCAAAACCTGAGAGTGGAAAAAAACCAAAGCTTTTCCAAGACATGTCGAGGGGGAAATATCCCAGCTAGAACATAGCTCAGGGAAAAGACCCAGGCGTCATTGATAGCAGCTCTATGGAAACACCTGTTCATTCACAGGAGTGACCAAAACAAAGACAATGTTTGGATGCCTAAGGAATGGGATGGAGAATAACCTGCTCTGGACATGTGCTCAGTTTTTGTCACCCAGAGTTTATAAAGGATAGTGCAGATACAAAGGGGATTTCCAAGACAGGCTCTGAGAACGGGGAAGGCTTCCATACGCAGACAGATTGAAAAGTCTGGGACTGTTTAGTTTAGAGAAGAGATAAATAAGGGGACATATGATAGAGGAGAACAAAATAAAATAATGGAACTGAGTATATTCCAATGGACAAACAGAGAACAGTTCTCAACCAGTAATGTCTATCTACAGACACCCTTCAAAAGGGCTAATTCCCCAAAGCTGAGGCAAATTATCAGCAAAACTGTTTGGGAGGAAAAATTTAGATAGAAAAATGGGAATTAAAAGTGGGAGTTCTTCAAGAAGAGTACATTAGATAGATAAAAAGCCATGAATCCACAGTTAAAAATGTGGACAACTCCGGCTAAAAACCCAGTTCAGTAGCAAAGTGAAGGCAGCAAGCAATATAAATTGGAAGTTATGAAAATTGATATAGGATGTTAAATACATCTTAAGAACTTAAGAACATAAGAATGGCCATACTGGGTGAGTCCATCTAGCCCAGTATCCCCTCTTCAGACAGTGGTCAATTCCAGGTGCCCCAGAGGGAATGAACAGAACAGGGAATCATCAAGTGATCCACACCCTGTCGCCCATTCCCAGCTTCGGGGGAAAATCCATGCTTGGCCTGCCTATGGACAACAAAAAGGAGGTTATTAAGTATATTAAGAAGAAAAGAAATCCTAGAAAAAGGTTTCAGTCAACTCGTATAGGGGGAAAGGAAACTTGTTAATGTTGCAGAAAAAGCAGATGTGTTCAAGAAATATTTTTTGGTCTGCATTTGGAAAGAAGCAGTATGATGTATTGATATCACGTGTGGTGATGAAACACTTTGCAGTCCATTAGCAGTCAAGGACGGTGTTAAATAGCATATATGGTAAAAATTAGAGTTCTGAACTAACGGATCAACTACACATCTAATTCAGAACCAGAAGTACATAATCAGGCATTAGCAGAGCCAAAAAAAGAAAAGAAAGGCAAATACAGGTCAGTGCTGTGTTAAAAGTAAACTATTTAAAAAATGAAAGGAATGTTTTAAAAAAATATTTGACAAGGTTAGGAAATAATGGAAAAGCTGATATGGGAATAGTTTAAAAAATAGTCTAGGAATATAATTAATGCCAGTCAACAACATGGTTTATGGAAAACAGGCCCTGTCAAATAATGAGAGTGCATGTCTGGTTTGATCAAGGGAACCGTGGAGATGCAATAGACTTCAATTTCTCTGAGGCATTTCATTTATTAGAGGAAAACATTGAGATAAACAAAATGAACACTGCAATATCAGTGGAGCACACGTA